ACAAAAAAAATATTTTTGTCAAGAAAATAAAATCAGTTAAATGAAGAAATGATAGCCTCTTTAATAAATAGTGGTGGCAAGATTGGAAAACAATTGCAGAAAACCTCACACCTTTCACCTTACACAAAAACCAACTTAAGGTAGATCAGAGACCTAAGAGAAAAAGAAAAGACTATAAAATTCATCAGAGAAAAGCTAAGAACTAACTGCTATAGAAGTCCTAATCCACATCATGCACAGACTTCCAAGCATAATGAAAAACCTATAGCCAGGAGAAAATAAAGTAGATGAATGGGACCTAGGAGATTTTGAACTTGGAATAGATTTAAAACTTTTGGAATATGAAGGGTGAGTGTATTTAATATATGACAAGGGCCTGAATTTGGGTACCAAAAGGTGGAATGTTTTAGATTTAATTGTATCCCACAAAAAAATGTGTATCACATTAAATGGGCCATGATTCTCAATGATTTATGTAATGATGTGATTTGACATTTATGTAATCATCTACCACAATATGAAAAAAAGTGACTAGTCCATTGTTGTTGTTGTTATGTGCCATCGATTCAAGTAAGACTCATAAGACTCTATGAACAAAAGTTCTATCCTGTGCCATCCTCGCACTTTCTGACACACGAGAGCCCATTGCAGCAGTCACCTTGTCAATCCATCTACTTGAGGGTCTTCTCCTTTGCCAAACCTCCACTCTTTTTAGCGTCATGTCCCTATCCAAGAAATAGCCCCTCCTAACAACTTGCCCAAAGTATGTGTAGTGAAGCCTCATTGTTCTTGCCTCCAAAGAGCACTCTGGTTGCACCCTCTATAAGACATATACGTTTGGTCTTGTGGCCATCCATTGGGTGTTCAGTGCTCTTCTCCAAAACCACAGCTTAAAGGTATCAATTAGTTGTATGAATATTAGAACAGCCACAACACCCTTTCTCAAGTCACAGCGCTGAGTTGATGTAAGGTATTTAGGATGGAGTGAAAACTCTTACTCATGCTACAGTCCTGTCTGATGTAATAAAAAATTTCTTGTGGTAAGGTCTGCATCATCTTTTATAATAAAAAAGATAAAAGGAGAGATAAGTGGCAAAGAAGTAAGGATCAATCTCACTGATTTCACATGCAAGCAAGATTTTACTGAAGATTATCCAAAAACGACTGGAACAGCACATCAAC